ACTATGTTCTTTCCAAACACGTACGTTACCTATGGATAAAGTTTAATATTGGTAATAAGTGTGTTTAGGTTCCAGTAAGAGATGAGAAATAATAGATTAAATATATGTAATAAAATAGTGTATATCACTTTTGGTTGGTGGAGAAAGGCCGAAAGAGTGGGCGAGGATCACTTTGAGTTTCAGGAGTTTGCGATCACCTCTGGCTTCAACAATAGGCAGGGAACCCACGTCTCTTACTACAATAAATCATAAACGGAAGAAAATAGCCAAGAGCGCTTGGTGGCGCACAGCCGTTAATGTCCAGAATACCTTTGGGAGTCTGAAGTTCACGCTGAGAAAGCACCTGACTCTGGGAAGTGGAGGTTGCAGTGAGCGAGATCCACCACTGCACTCCCAGCCTGGGTGCAGAGCGGCACTTCGATCTTACAAGAAAATAAGTATATTAAGTTTCTTGATTAAATGTATATGTCGCTCGGGTTCCAAATATACTGTACTCACTGTTGTTTTTATTTTTTTTTTTTTTTGAGACAGAGTCTCGCTCTGTTGCCCAGGCTGGAGTGAAGTGGCACGATCTCGGCTCACTGCAGCCTCTGCCTCCCAGGTTCAAGAGATTCTCATGCCTCAGTCTCCCAAGTAGCTGGGATTACAGGCACGTGCCACCAGGCCTGGCTAATTTTCACATTTTTAGTAAAGATGGTGTTTCGCCATGTTAGCCAGGCTGGTCTTGAATTCCTGACCCCAGGTGATCCACCTGCTTTGGCCTCCCAAAGTGCTGGGATTACAGGAGTGAGCCACTGCGCCCGGCCAGCTGTTTTTGGGCTGTGGTGGACCACGGATAACAGAAATCACAGAAAGTGGAACCTCATGTCAGAGGGGACTTCTGAATACATTCAGATTGCTTACTATCTATACACTTGTCTGCATTGAACATTTTTCTGAGAATTGCTTGGGTACCTTGGGTTGGGATGGAATACATAACGTTTCCCATTTGCAGTCATGAAAATATATTTCTTTTTTAGACAGAGTCTCACTTTATCACCCAGGCTGGAGTGCAGTGGCGCGATCTTGGCTCACTGCAACCTCTGCCTCCTGGGTTCAAGCAATTCATGTGCCTCAGCCTTCTGAGTAGCTGGAATCACAGGCGCACGCCACCATGCCTGACTAACTTGTGTATTTTTAGTGGAGACGAGGTTTCACCATGTTGGCCAGGTTGGTCTCAAACTCCTGACTTTAAGTGATCTGCCTGCCTCGGTCTCCCAAAGTGCTGGAATTATAAGGGTGAGCCACTGTGCCCGGCCATATTCATGAAAATATTTTTATTTAATAGCTTCTCATTTAGCAGCAGGGTTTCCAGTAACAAATCCGTTAAGTTTGGGAACAGGGGGATACTCCTGCCCACTTGTCCATCCACACATATGGATGTGAGACACCTAGGGTCCCTGCTGTGCGCACACACGGACAAGCTGTGCAACTTTAGTCATTAAATCCAGGTGGATGTGACCTGAGCCACACGTCAACTTTTTATTGATAGCAAAACAGCGACATTGAGGAATGTTTCTTAGAAAGAGCAGACCCTTCTCCATGCGGCCATGCTGGGGCATGTATGAGGGGTGGGGATAGTGATCTCTAGGGCTGGGTGTTACAAAGGGAGGGCCAACCCTGCAGCCAGCAGAAGGGGAAGATCGCAGAGCCCCAGAGGTCAGATGCTGGGAGGAGCTCAGCTCCCAGGAGCAGCAGATGCCTCGAGGGCAGGCCGTGGCTGGGGGCTGTGGTGCCTGCGTGGGTGGATCCCGGGAGTGGCTGCTGTGGCCGTGGGAACTTCCTGAGCTGGGTTCAGGTACTGGAGTCGGGAGGAGAAGGAAGGGCCAAGGCCACTCGCCTTTAGTCAACCCAGAAGAAGCCCGTGTGACCCCGTGATTCCTTTAGGTTTTTCCTTCCCTGCTTTCTCTGGTGATCCAGGCTTTCCTCTCTGCCCACAGTCCTCCACAGACCAGGCGGCGGTGACCTGAGCCCCCAGACCTTGTGCTTTGGGCTGAGTCCTTCTCGTAGCTGTGGTCTTCCCTGGGGAGAAGGTTGCCCAGGAGTCGTACCTGGATTCTGGGGATGAATGTGATCTCAGCCAGGTCACCTTAGTTCTCTGGGCCTTAGTTTCCTCATCCGTGACATGGGGTCAGTCTCTTCCCTGCCCCCTCAGGCCTGTCACGAGGGTCAGGGGAAGGAGCTTGTGGAAGCCCCTTGATGGAGGGAGCTGCTGTAACCACTGTGTCCCAGCGCATGTAAGGCTATAGTTGTCAGCTGGGATCTAGAAGCCTCACTGCTGCCCTTCCTTCCTGCAGCATCGGCTGCCACCACCAGAATCGGGCGGCACCATGCCGCACTTGTCCCCAGCCAGTGGCACCTAGGCGCTGAGCTAGAAGCTTTTGTAAACATCTTCTTCCCTAGCCACCTCCCTGTATTCACACGCCCCTCAGCACAGCATCTCCCCAGTGTAGACCAAGTGGGGCTTGCTCAGCACGGCCACGGTACAGACGGTTTAGGAGGGCAGGAGGGGATCTGTCTTCCACTCCCCACACAGCCCTCTTGTTGTCCCTCCTCCCTTGGCTCCCCCGTCCAGGCTCTGGGGGTCAAGTGAGGGCCTGGCTGTCCTGCAGAGACCTTGCCAACCCACTCACCAGCCAGTGTAGCAGAAGGTGGCATGGAAGCCCAGGAAGGTAGACAAGAAGGTGATGCCTAGCTCCAGGACGGTGAAGAATAGCAGCAGCGCTGAGAGACTCTTCCAGGGTACCTGCGAAACCAGGGTGCAAAACCTGCAAAAACTGGGCAGTTTTATAGACCAGCCAGTCCTGGACTCGGTCTGCAGGCTTTGACCAAGGAGATGGATAAAAGAAGGGAAACTTGCTAGAAGGGGAGTGTCCTGTCATCTAGTAAGCACCTGTTATGTGCTTATTTTAATCTTAGTTGCCTAATTAGATAGGTACTCTGATTAGCCCCATTTCACAGAGGATGAAACGGAGGTTCAGAAAAATTGAGGTACTTGTCCAAAGCCACACAGCTGGTAAGTGAGAGCTGGGATTCAGACCCGTCCAATTCCAAGACCCATGCGGTCAACCATTCAGACTGACATCCAGCAGCAAAAAAGTACAGAAAGGTCAAGTAAGAAAATACATGGAAAAGCATGTATTTGGCAGTAAGCTACTGGCGACCACCCCAGGAGGGCTTAAGGTCTGTGGAGATGGGAGAGGAGGAGATGGAGTCCATAGGAGATCGTTGCTGTGAAAGGGCAGAGAGGGGAGACCCCAGTCAGAGAGGGACACGGGGTTTCCGGGACTTGAGTTTCTGGAGCCAGAGGAGAGGGAGAGGCGTGGATGGAGGAGAGAACAGCCGGGGAAGGTGAACACAGTGGACTAGGGTCATGGGGGCCTAGGAGGAATGATTTATCCTCTACCGATAAGGAAAGCGCGGAG